GTTGAGATTACTGGGATTTTTTTTAGAGTGGGAAGGTGTGCCATTTTAGACATCTCGAAAGTGGAGATTCAAATAGACAATCAAATTATTACTAATCTTTTGAATGACAAACGAAAATATCCATGGAGAATACATTGAATTGCAATAAATTCACCATATTCTCCAGAATAAAGGCTATTCGGTTGTCCATGTCTATAGATAAATGAATGTTGTGGTGGATAGTCTTGCCAGTCTAGCTTGCTCTGGCTCGTCCTAACGTTTTGATTATCTTCCAGATCTACCAGTATATGCCAAGGGACTTCTGTGTTTGGATGAAAGAGCTTTCCCATATGTACAAATTAGGTAATTTCTTGTTTAAGGAATTGCTTATTTTATTTGTATGCTATCTTATGAGTAAGTCTTAAGTATTGATCTATGTATTCTATTACTGCGTAATAAATTGGGTACTAATCCCACCAAATACTGCCTTGATTATACAAAAAAAAAAGATGGTGCAATGGGTTTTTATTTGAATAACAAAGTTCATTTTTGGATTTTCAATGTATTTGACTATTTGTTGTTTTTATCGAATTTGATTATTCATGCATTCAGGGTTTTAAGTTAAACACAATAGTTTTCATGTTTAATTACTTTTTCTCTCTTTTTTAAGACAAAAATTATCTTTCCTCTATTCTTATCTTCTTCATTCTTCTTCTTTTCTCTCCTTATCCTTCCATATCCGCGATGTTCATTAGTTTTTTCTGCAATTTGTTTCTCCCCAGTCATTGTGTTCCTTTCCCATCATCCTCTCCCTTTAAGCCTAATTGCCACCGCGAAAATCTTGCCGCCGCCAGCGTGGACACTGTCACCACCAGTGCTGTCCTTACCCTACATCCGGTTTCCCAACTCAAGGTTATTTACGCCAATAACTATTTCAAATAGAAGAATTGGCGTTGTTAACACACTACAAAAAAAAATGTAGTAATATAGTCCCTATAAAGACACTAAGGCCTATCACTACAACTTTTCCAAATGTGGTCTATGCAAGTGTGTTAATAGACCTTTTTTTTACAAGACATTTTTATGTGTGATAATAGAGTAGTTTAAAGTCACGTAGATTAAAAGTTAGAAGATATCATGACAATTTGAAATGCCTTAATAAGTTATATTTTCAAAGAAAAAAAAAAGAGCATTTTAATTTATTTAATTTAGTTTATCAACAATAAATAATATAAAAATATTGTATCAAACGAAAAACGGTATTTGTTAGTTACAAACTGATGAAATTTTATTAAATCCTAGATACATATGCTAAATTCAACGTACTACATGCTACTACTAACGTTTACTTAACTAATCCCCGTAGTAAAATTGATTCAACAATCTCTCATCCATTGTAATGCGCTGAGTCCTTGGGGAGCTTTTCATCTAGCTGCATCGTGATATAGCTTACTCCCGATTTCAAAAATCACTTTTCCACCTCCTCTTAGGTTTGACACATTGAACTGCTCTCTAATAACCGCTAACGTTGAAGCCATTCACTTTAGCTTCACAAAAGCATCCTGAATATACAAAATTACACGCAAGTTGTTCCCATTTTAATCACATGAACAGAGGGTAATGAAAAAGCAAGTCAACTATTCCAACAGAACATTAAACACATTTCGACAGAACAACCATGTAAAAAGCAACTATATGCAGTAAAGTTCATACAATAACCTAGGGAATGAATGCATACATAGTGATTTTGCTTACATTACCTTAGGTGATTGTGCAACAATGAAGGAGAGAACCTTTCCCAACATTCCAGGTGCGCATGTAACACATGTTTTTGAAATCTCCAGCATCCTCAAAAGCTATCACGCGACATGGCTTAGGTTTCAGTTCCTGATTAGCTGCCATCTCAAGAGAATAGAACCCATTGTTCCTCAAAATAAAGTTCAATACACTACAAAACAATGTAGATACAAAATAGACAACATTATTATTTATTTAGCTTCCACAAGTTATTCTTTTACTGTGAGGAGTAAAATCAGTACAAACTGGTAAAAGTAAAAGAAACTTGATAAGGGCTCATGAGAATGATCAGGATTATGACTAAAGTTCAGCTAATAAATAGAAAACATAGAGCAAGCCCTAAAACAGCCAATGGAGATGCAGGTATCACACAGTTGTTAGTGGAAAAAGAAAAAGAATAACGAATTACTTGTACATATGGCAGATCCAGCCATCACAAGTGATCTTCTTCCTTTTCAACGGCATATTCACGGTACTTGCTTGCAACAACTTGAGGACCAAACAGCTCTATTCCCATTTCACCCTATCCAGCTTTATTTTAATTACCTGCCCCCCCTCCCCTCTCTCCCGCAATTTATCCATCAATTGAGCTGCTTCCTTTATTTCTTTTTCATTTATCCACCTATCCATATCATTCTCCACATATCCATATCCTTCCCCATGGTTTCTTTCTCAATATTACTAACTACTACTTCCAAAATCTAGACACTTAAGTTCTAAAATATGCATTAGAAAACAGTCCTACCATAGGGTTACTATAAGGTTTTCTGGATACGAACCGGATCCACATGCTTGAATATTCAAGGATTACCATAACACCCACCATTGTTGAACTTTGAAAATAAAAGCCAATGTTGCAATTCCCTTTTAAAACTAAGGGTAAGCATCAATCTATGAAAATCACCACATGAGAAGAATATAAATACATCAAACCCAAATGAGATAGAACATCAAAAAAGAAAATAAAATAAATAAACAAAAGAAAACATAATTGCGACAATTTCATAGTGTACTGGGAATCTCACTTCAGGACTAGAGAGGTCGGCAAAGGGATTGTCTCTTGAATCCATTATATATTGTTCAATATTGGCAAAAAAAAAAATCGTCAAACCAAAATAACAAAGTTGATTTAATTGACATAGATTCTCCGGCCTTAATTATTTTGGCAACAAAAGCTTTGAAGAATTCATTCATATAATAGAAATTCTACAAGAAAATAAAAAACGACAAGGAAAACACAACTTCGTAATCAAAAAATAGAACTCTAAAATAGTAGATTTTACCTTTCCGCCGGTTTTAGAGATAGGTTTCATTCAGTCCATGTGAGAATCAAGCTTTCTAATCTTCACTTTCAGCACCTGAAACAAAGTTGATTTAATTGCCCTAATTCGATAAAACAAAAAAAGGATATTGAAAGGAACCAGATGAATTTTACTCAAAGATTTGAAAGAGGTTTGGGGGAAATTGCAGAGATGCGAAAGGAGGTCGGGTTTTTTTTCCTTTTTCTTTTTGGGTAATAAGGAGAAGGTTTTTTAGTGGGGAATGGAAGCTTCAAAGTAGGACTACATTAGTGTTATAATAATATTTTCGATGATTAAAAAAATAAAAATTATTAAAAAACCATTCATTTTACAGTCTAAATGCCTTAATAGGTTTGAATGGCTGATTTCATAAAATGTCCCAATAAGTTTGTGGAGATAGCTAAAAAGTCTATATAAAAGTGTGAAGTTAGATACTTTTTCTTGTAGTGGCATAAATCAGAACTCAGATATGAGCATGCAAGAAGATGTGATTTATTACTTCTTTTATGACGTTATGGGTCCGGATAGATGTATTGTGCAAAGCTAGAAAAATATTCTCTCTTACACTTTACCGATTATGTTAGGAGTTGCCTTGCTCCTTGCACATTGGGGCTATCCAAATTAAGCTACATCTTGTTTCACGATTTGGGATTGCTGGAGTGAACGACGGGAGTTTTTTCAGGGTTGAGATTTTGGATTTTTCTTTTCCTTTTTTAAATAATTTTTGAAAACTAGATTTATCAAATAAAAAAAATCATAATGAAACCATTCAATCTTAAACCAAACAACATTATTGGATTCATGAATCCATGAGTTTTTGAATCCAATCTGTCGTCATAAAAAATATCATGGTTTGAATATGACAAGATTATTACCCGACTGAAATGACGTATAGGAAAAATACATATTGTGAAACATATTCGACAGATTAAAAACAAAGAAAAACAAAAGCATAAAAAACTTACCAAAAGGAATTCGTCATTTTGATCCCAAATGACCATCTTCGGCAACTCAGAATTCTTGTTGACTTCATACGATTCAGCTAATACTTCAAACAACATAACCAAAGACCAAATCACAATTTGCAGAGGCAGCAACCTTCAACAACTTGGGTAAGCTACAAACAATGTCTTGTACGGATAGCCAGATATATTAGGATCATTGTTTGGGTCGTCTACATAAAGGATAGGCAAGTTAACCACAAGAGAGATGAAATCCATTCACTCAGCCTTATAAACTTAAAAAGGGCATGGAAAAAAAGAAGCCTTAAATTTCTCAAATTCTTCACTTTCCTTGCACCTTCTTCTAGCCTGTTTCCCGAAAATAATGAGAAAATATTACAACTTACATACAGATATGCGTTTCCCTTTACATTAGCATATTCAACATTTGATTTGCCTAAAAGTGAATGGAACGCACGGTGAACTTTTGAGAGTTAAACTATAGCTTTTTAACACACTTTTCCATACATTGGTTTCAATAACATTTCTCAGGAATCTTTGATGACATATTACTTAAATGGCTATTACCTTTTTCTTTTCAAATAACCATTTTCTCTCTTCTTACTTGCATTTCATGTCAAAATTCGGAGCAGATATTACTTTCAATTTAAAATCAACTTGAAACAGAAACCAAGGAATTGCACTTGGAAACTTCAACATCAAAGCTACTATCAATGGAGCTCAACCAATTAGAGTTGAAAAGATTAAAACTCAGATAAACTTTTAAACCAACCATTAGATTAAATTTCAATCAATACGGCCAAACTACAAACTTGATACTAAAACACTATTTAACCGATTTGAAGTAACTCACAGGAATTCTATCTGGATATTTCTTTCTAATCCTGGCTCTTCTCTAAACATCAGAGGATAAAAACACAGAAGCTTAACCTAAAAATTCAAATTGCATTCATATACTTACAATAATGCAGAAGTCCAAAACAGACCAAAATCATGCTCTTGCTTGAATGCAACTTTTGCCATATCTGTTGAAATTTTTCAGCAACACGATATTATCCAACATGAATCAACACATGAAAGTCAATCAAATTTAGCTCTTCTTAATCAATAAAACAATGATTTTCAAAAAGAAGACTCATTCCTAGTCTAACATATTCACCTCCCTTTCTTAATTACTCCCACACATAGGCCTTGTAATTTGGGGGTTTTTGATTAATTGGGTGCTGTTTGTATTTGGAAACACCAGATTCATCAAGATTTCTGATGAATAAGAGCATCTAAGTCTCGAAACGAAGGGGGAGATTCTGAATTAAGAAAACAACTAGATGGTTTAGGCTTAAAAGTGACTACTGATAGTAATTGTTACAACAGGAAACACCCTAAAATACAACTGCAAAGAATATATATGGAACTCTACATTGGCTGATAAATTACTCACATGTCTGGGAATTAAAAGAGTGCTAGTGAACTTCTCAAACCTGCTACCATTCGGAAAATGAACATAGGATGGCAGCTTAGGATAAACTATCCCAATACCAAGGGAAGTGAAGCCTACGGTAAGAAGGAGAAACAAATCGCATCATCATCAGACGAAAAACCATATATCAAAAGATGTACCATTTTGTAGGGGAAAAGCAAAGCAAAGAAAATCCTTGGATGGTCGACCTCAATCTCAAATCCACCAATGATGAATTCGGGCACAGGGCAAAGACAAATCCTTTCCACAAATACAAATTATAGGAAGTCAACACCGTCAATTCCTCCACCACCACCAGCCTGCAAAACCCACCCCCACCAATTCCTTTCCTTATGCCACCGCCAACAATCCCACCAGGCTGACCACAAGATTTTCCCCCCACTGGCTACTCCAAATCCTCCACTATCACCGCCTCTTAATCTTCCACCACCACTGCTTGCAAATACCCGCCTCCGGTGATTTATTTCCCAAATATTGCCTGCAAATACCCGCCATTGTCCCATCCCAACAAACCTTTTTATATTTTCAACACACCTTTTTACATTTCCAAAATAAAAACACCTAAAAACACACACTAAAAAAATGAAACAAACATACCCTAAACGTGGGAGCCAGTGGTTGACGTTGAGGAGAATTTTTGTTTTTTGGAAATTTTGTGTTTATCTTTTGACTGTTTTACCCCTTTTTAAAATTGCTGATGTCATCAAGCGTCTCTCATCCAATCAAAATATTGATTTATCATTAGAATATATTTGAATGTGGTTCTTTTATAAGAATAGGGAAAATGGTCAAATAAGAGATTTAAGAGATGAATATTCGGAAATACAAATTTTTCTAATATAAAAAGGTGGTTATTCGGATAAAATAAAGCATTAGAGTAAAAAAAAAAAAAAAAGAAGAAATTTGAAAAAAATTTTGTGAATGTGAATTTTACTTAAAAAATTTATTTAATTTAATAATACTTATTAAAATTTCTTTTAATATTTTGTACCTTTTTTTATAGTTACATTATTATTTTATTAGTTTTTAATTTTATGAGTAAAATGGTAAAAGATATGATAATTGGTTTAGTATTAGATCAGGGGAATAAAAACATCCTACAAAAATATAAAATATAAAATATGCTATCCAATCAAATCTTACTTCCAAAAATATAAAATTGTTACATTATTTACCCTATTCTTTCTCATTATTATCACAAACAAACTAAAAAATATCCTAAAATATTTAATTATTTATTTTATTCCAATTATATTTCTATAATTTTGTATGGACCAATGGAGTAAATGGTGAATTGTTGATTTTTGGTTTAGCATAGGGCCAACAGAGTAAAAAAAAATAATTTAAACAAATAAAAAAATTAATAAATATTTAAAATTAGTTTGTTCATGGTATATATAAGAAGAATAAGATAAAAAAAAATGTGTAGGAAATACTTTGGAGACTAACTATTTAAACGTCCAAATACCTCTTTTCTCTCTAGCCAAAACCCTAGCGGCGACAACTATATTGCTTCTAGGCCTCTATAGCCAGTGGCCACCCATCGGCCATTAGTCCTGGACATCCAAAAACTTTTGCCAGCTTCTTTCGAAAGCCCCCTGAGGTTGGAATGAATAAGGACTCACTTATCAAGCAAGTGAAATTCATCAATGGTACTCCCACTTTGGAGTATGAGGACGATGAGTTTGAAAAATTGGTAGCTCCGCATCGATTGTGTTTGGTTGGGAAGTTTTCATACGGCCGACCAAAAATGAAGGAAATTCATAAGGAGTTTAAGAAAATCGAATTTAATGGTGGCTATACTTTGGGTCTTGTGAACCCTAAACATGTTTTAATCCTATTTGAACAAGATGAAGACTACCAAAGATATTGGATACGGGCTTTCTGAAATATTGGTGGATGCTCGATGAGAAATTTAAAGTGGAAGCCCGGCTTTCGATTTGAGGAAGAGTCAGGTGCCAATATGGGTCTCCCTCTTCGATCTGCCGATTGAATATATGAACCCGGAAGTAATTTCTCAATGGCTATGGCATGAGGTCAGCCGTTGAAAGTGGATACGCTAACTATGAATATGATGCGGCCATCGGTTGCTCGCTTTTGTGTGGAGGTTGATCTCACAAAGGAGCTTCCGAAGTCTGTTAAGATTGGCAAGAAAGGACGAAAGCATGAACAACTATTTACATTTGAGCATGCCTCTTCGTATTGCTTAAAGTGTTGTAAGATTGGCCATAAGGAAGAAGACTGCCAGATGGGGAAGCCTCCACCGGAAAAAAAAAAAAAGATGTTAGGAATAATGTTAAAAAAGATGCTAGGAATAATGTTGATCTTACCACGAAGAAGAAAGGAATTAAGATCTCGTCGTCAAAGGCGAAATGGTTGCTTAAAGGAGGAGAGGATAAATCTGATAATTAGAACCTAGAGGTGCAAATAATACAGGCGAATCCCCTTGTTGTGAAAGCAGTTGAATCGCAAACCCTACTGTCGCATGCCCCTACGGAACAAACCCTAGAGGTGCGCAACCCAGTGTCTCATATCCCTGCGGAACAAGCCCTAGAGGCGCGTATGTTGGAATCAACTTCAGGACTGTCTGCAAAGGAGAAAAAAATAATTCGTGTGGATCTCCAGGATAAATCTAATTCGTCTGCTGAACAAAGGGAGGTTGAATGCATTCCCCTGCATGGAAATGCGAAGCCGACGAGTGTATCGATTCCGGAGCAAACCTCAAAAAGATTCTCGGCACTTCAGGAAATGGAGGATCGCGATGTCAATCTGTTGGACGATTCCGATAATGAGGAGAATGTTTTCTCAGAGGAAAACATGGATAATCAGCTGCGAATATCTAATAATGTGATTGAAGCTGAATTGCAACACATGGCGCACTCGCCGCAGCCGGGACTAGAAAGGTTTCCAGATGATTCTTTTGAAGCCAAAAGTCAGGCCGATGATAATGACAAGATAGCTGAAGAGTATTATTGGTCGGAAGGAGAAAAGGATGATGCTATGGTCGAAAGATCAGAGACTAGTTAGATTACGGTGAAACGGAAACGGGAAAGAAAATCCAAAGAAAGGGCCAAATTGACCGAGGGAGTGGAGCTCCGGCGCTCCACCTGTCTACAGTAAAAAACTTTTGTTTTTGGATCTTCAATAAATTTCCAATGAGAAGTCAAATAGTCTGGAATATACGGGGAGTTAAAAATCAGGCGTCGATACGACGTTTGAAGTCCTTGATAAAAATACACAAGGTCTCTTTCCTAGTTCTTTTGGAGCCTATGCTGCCAAGTAATAAATTGGAGGAAATAAAATCTCTACTTCATTTTGATACTGCTTTCTCATCTAGCTCGAGTAAGATCTGGGTTTTGAGCAAAAAAGATGCTAGGGTTACACTGCTGGGAGGCTCAGAACAGGCTTTGCATTTGGAGGTTGAGCATCAATCTGTAGGTTCAAAGGTTTGCATTTCCGCTGTATATGCCAAGTCAACTAGGGCTGCTCGAAAAGAATTGTGGTCGAAGTTAAGAACATTGTGACAGCAAAATTCAAATACACCATGGATGGTAGGAGGGGACTTTTTAATGTTATTCGGTCTCTAGAAGAATATTCGGGCATCTCGCTGCAAGACCAAGCAGCAACGGGGGATTTTAATGAGTTCATTGAAGAAGTGTCTCTAACGGAGCTGTTTACAGTAGGGGAAGAGTTTACATAGAGAGGAACAAGAAGTACGGGTTGGGTGAGCAAGAAGCTAGACCGTATTCTTTTTTCCCCGGAATGGCTGAATAATTTTCCTATGGACTCGGTAGAAAACCTAAACAGAACAACTTCAGACCATTGTCCCATGCTACATCAATTTGATTCTACTTTGGATCGTCAACCGAGAAGCTTTCGGTTTCAAAATATGTGTCTGCGACGGGATGATTTCTTGGCCTTGGTAAAGGAGGATTGGAACTTGCCCATTGAAAGTTTTGGTATGTTAGGTTTTCCTTTGAAGCTTCAAAGATTGAAAGCGAAACTCAAGGAGTGGAATAAAACAGTTTTTGGGAACGTCTTTGACAACTTGAAAGCTGTAGAGAAGGAGGTCCAAGAGTTGGGAATTCGATTTGATGAAACTAATTCTGAGAGGGATGGAGTCCAACTCAATCATGCGCGTGCAATATTGCTTTTGAAGCTAAAGGAAAATGAGGACTTTTGGAGGCAAAAAAATGAAGCTAAAATGGTTAAAGGAGGGTGATTGTAGTACATCTTTTTTCCATGCTTTCCTAACAGAAAAGAGAGCAAAAATAAGCATTTACAAAATTTAGTCTGAAGAAGGGGAATGCTTAACCGAAAGGCAAGCAATAGAGGCACAAGCAGTGAAGTTTTTTGAGCATCTCTTGACAGAGGAAAATGTTTTGCCTAGGGTTCATATTCAAGAAACTTTTTTACAACACATTCCTTTGCTTCTTGATCAAGCTGATCATGACTTGCTTTTAAAGGAAATAACTATGGATGAGGTGAAAAAAGCTGTTGATAACATTGATGCAAATAGTGCTTCAGGATCTGATGGTTATGGAAGAACCTTTTATAGGGCTTGTTGGGAAATTATAGCACCGGATCTTCTCAATGCTTGCAAGGAGTTTATGCTAGGGGTCCCCATCCCAAGAGCAATTGGAAGCACTCTTGTCACTCTTATTCCCAAGAAAGCTTCAATAACAACATTCTCCGATGTTCGCCAGATTAGCTTATGCAACTTTGTTAATAAGGTTTTTTTAAAAAAAAAAAATTCACCCCAGTGGACCCTACTTAAATGTGGATAAAATTCCCCTTAAAAACCCCTGGTGGGACTTTTGAACCCTGATCTATCACCAGGAAAGACAACACCCTAACCACTAGGTTGTCATTCAATATCCAACTTTGTTAATAAGGATTTTGCAAAGATTCTCTCCGAAAGATTGAAGATGGTGTTGCCAAAACTCATTTCTGAAGAGCAGTCGGCCTTTCTAGCTGAAAGAGACATCATTGATAATATCATGCTCAACCAAGTCTTGTGTCAATTCCTCAATCATAAAGCAACTGGCAATAATCTGATTTTGAAGGTTGATACGATGAATGCTTTTGATCGTGTTTCTTGGAGCTTTCTGAGTGCGGTGTTACAAAAGTTCGGCTTTCATCCACATTTCATTTCTTTCATTTTTAATAACCTTCAAAATAGTCGGTTTTCAATTTTGGTGAATGGCAGGTTTCTTCAAAACAAGTAGGGGAATCAAACAGGGTGGTCCGTTATCCCCATTTTTGTTTATACTTATCTCGGAAGCCATATCGTGCAGGATCAATTATTTGAAGACAAATAGGAAGATTGCCCGATATGGCACACCTACTGGTTCAAACTATGTCTCTCACTTGCTTTGTGGATGATCTCATTGTCTTTACTCACGGACTACAGTCATCTTTGGAGGATTTGAACAAATTCTTTGGTGAATATGAGCTAGCTTCAGGGCAGAAAATTAATAGAGAGAAAAGCAGCTTCTTTGTAGATGATAGTTGTTGCTCTTCCCGAGTTGGAATTATCAAGAGATGTTTAGGCATGAATAAAGGCTCTTTTCCTTTTGTTTATCTGGGTTGTCGATAATATAAGGGAAGGAAAAAGGTGGCTACATTTCATTTTCTTCTTGATGCTTTGGAGGCAAAAATATCAAATTGGGAAAACAAGTTTCTTAGTCAAGGAAGGCGTCTAGTGCTAATTAAGCATGTTCTATCGGTCATTCCAATTTATGTGTTTGCAGCTACAGAGCCACCAAAATCAGTACTTAATGCGATAGCTCGAAGATGTCAAAGTTTCCTTTGGGAAGGTGCCGAAAGGGATAGAAAACGAGATTGGAGATCATGGAGTAGACTTACTTTTCCGGTTGAGGAAAATGGTCCAGGGTTGCGAGATTTTCATGACACGCTCAAAGCTTTTTCTTTCAAAATATGGTGGAAAATAAAGAATAAGCAAGGCATATGGGCTAGGTTTATCCTCTATCTGTCACAGGCTGCGAGGAAGAAAACATCCTGGAGTAGGTTTGCAAAGTTTGATATATTGGCAACCAGTCATTCAAAAGTCTTGGTGCGAAGCGGAGATAGAAGCTTTTGGTATATATGACCAGTGGTCGAGTTTGGGATGAATCTGGGATATTAATGATGTCACTCCTCCTTTATCGACAACAATAATTAAGGAGTTCTTTCTAAGGAAAAGTTTCTATATGAGGAAGTTCCGGAATCGTGTCCGCTAAAGTTCTTCAAGCGTTGGAAACAATGGACATTAATTTCAGTGAAGGAGAGGACAAATTAGTTTGGAAGCCAACACCTTTGGGAGTTTTCACGATCAAATCAGCTTTTGATGTCTTAAGCAGGAGACAAACGCTCAGCCCCAGGTTGCAGAATGTTTGGTACAAACATATTCCGCTTCGAATATCCTTTTTCATGTGGAAAGTTGCTAATTTCCTTCTTCCATTTCCTGAAACCTTATGCAAGCTGTTATTACACATCCCTCCATCTGTTTGAAATGCATGTCCTTCTCGGACTCCATGCAGCATCACTTCTTTGCTTGCAAATTTGCGCGCGAGGTTTGGAGGTACTTCTCAGAGCTCTTCGGACTCCATTCTACACAAGGTGCAGGGCAGGAATCTACATTAAGCTCATGGTGGTTGTCGGGAAACTTTATGACCGCAATTGGAGTGATCAAGAAAGTTCTGCGATCTTTCATTCTGTGGAAGTTATGGAAAGCGCGGAATAAGTTTCTGTTTGAAGGAGTAGACACAAGTGAGCATGGCATTATTAGCGCAGTAAGGCAACAATTACATAACATGATGCTGGCTCAAGAGCTTCCAATTTGGAATAATGCTGAAAAAGATATCCTTCAACAACACTTTCTGAAGACACATATTCGGGTTAGGAGGAAGAAGGTGATTGCGGTTTGTTGGAAGAATTTGCTGCAGAGTAAGTATATCCTCAACACTTGTGGTTCTTCGAACCATTTGACTTCGAGATATGGTTTTATAATCCGAGGGGACAATGGACAATTTTTGTATAGGGTGGAGGAGATAGTTTTCAAGCAATAGTGTATGGCCTTTTGTTTGGAATTCGAAAATGTAAAAACCTTGAGTTGTTGCAATTGGAAATCCAAACGGATAATCAAATGTTGGCAAACCTCTTATCTAGTGGGGGTCCTTATCAATGGAGATTTCACTTTGAATTAGTAAAGATTTATGCTATTATAGAGAGAAGGAGATATGGAATACACCATATTTTTAGAGAGGCGAATGTGGTTGCGGATAGCTTAGCTCGGGCTTCACCTGAACATTCTGAACAATATGATGATCTTGGTGATCTTCCGAGTTGCACCAAGGCTTTATTCTCTTGGATCAACAGTATATGCCATATGCGAGAGTTCGATAGATCAAGTGGATCTTCTTTGTAATAGATAGACTACCTTATATCTTTACAAATTGTTGTATTCTGATAAGTCTTAGGCACTGTCAGATCATCTATTTTTAATAACACATTGGGGAATCTTCAGCTTTGTGTTGGGGGGTTACAATATTCATCTTAGAGGTATACCCTTTAAATGTATTATGTCTCCCAACCCAAAGTTTCGCAAGTTTCTCTTTCTTTTGGGCTAAAAGAAAAAGGTAAAAAATGTAGGACATTTTATATTTTTGGATAGAAAGATTTAATTTGGATAAATAAATGTGAATAGAGTAAAATTTAAAAAGTGATGTGCTAAAGTTAAAATTAGGTTCAATTGAAAAAAATTAAAAAAATCAAGGTAAAATTGATAAAATTAATTATTAAATTTTGGAGAAAATATGTAATTACCTTTTCTTAAAAATAATTAAAAAATATATTTCGTCGGAATAATGACCGGATCCGGCTAATAGGACCAATTTTGAACAAAAAAATTTCCATGACTAATTCGCATGAAAAACATATATATATATATATATATATATATATATATATATATATATATGCGTGTGTGTGTGTGTGTGTATGTGTGTGTGTGTTTGACGAAAGTA